CGAATCCCAGCAATACATTATAGAGCACCATGTGTGGGGAAGTGCAGGCTTACCTGAGCAGTCTTCCAGCAATTTGTTTCTGAGATCGGGCCTGTTTATCGGCGGCTGTCATCCGCCCACACCTGCTCCTCCTTACTTCTTCTTCTCCCCGCGTCCCTGTGCCAATCGAGGATGTGGGCGGGCGGTGACCGTGAAGCGGGGAGGAGGTGCGGCGTGTGGATGCGGGCAGGCATGTCTGGCAGCGGCGAGCATGAGGTGGGGAGGAGGTGCGGCGCGCAGCGTGTGTGGAGCGTGAACAGGGCCAACCAATCGGAAGCTGATTATTCGATGATTGAAAAAGTTGACAACCTTTTCAATAATCGATTATGTCGATTAGTTGTTGCAGCCCTATACATGAGATCCTCATTCCTTACGCAGGTGGATTAGAAACAGAAAACCCTAATAAAGAGGCATTGGACCAGCACAGGGATCCGTGCACCACATCCCCAAAATTGAAGCCTATGTGTTAAAGGGACACTTAACTCAGGAGTTAAATCTTAATGCATTCAAGTACCTTAACTATTAACAAAAATGTAACTTATTTGTGTATCACTTGGCTGTAGATCCTCAAATCATCTCTTAATTGGTGCTGACACTGTCCTTCCTTCTGGAGGGGGGCTACTTTTTTCCCCCCGTGGTTCCTGTGTGTGCTGTAAAGTAGCCACTAGAGGTGCACCAAAATGAAAAAAAAGTTTTTGTTTTTTTTTCTTTTTCCAACTTTTTAAAAAATGTTTAAAAATATGTTATTCTTTTTATAAACCTTTTTTTATATTTTATTTCTTTACTGTTGAGGGGACTTCTGGGAAATATTAGCGGTCTAAATAGATCCCTGATATGTCCCTTTTAAAATAGAAAAAGAATTTGAGAACAGAGTCCTCAATCATTTGAGTTTACTAATTTGTTTTAAGATTGTAGTCCATCGCTGGAGTGAGCTTGGAATGGTGACTACTTTACAACACACACAGGGACCATGGGAATAAAAGTAACCACCCTCCAGAAGGAAGGACAATTCAGAGATGATTTGAGGATCTACAGACGAGTGATACACAAATAAGTTACATTATTGTTAATCGTACTTGAATGCATTAAGATTTAACTCCTGAGTTACGTGTCCCTTTTTAATATATAGGCTTCAATTTTGTGCTGTGCTGGTCCAATGCCTCTTTATTAGGTTTTTCTGTTTCTAATCCACCTGCGTAAGGAATGAGAATCTCATGTACCTCTGTACTAATATTCCCAACATCAATACCTCTGTGCCAATATTCCCAACATCAATGTCTTTTCTGCTACTGATATTAAGGTACTTAAATTTATTTTTAAGATTAACGCTTGAGTTTATTGTTTCTTTAATGTTCCGTCAGTGGTCTGGAACTTTCAAGGTGCTACAGTGATTTACACAAAAATTAGGATAGTAAAATGTCTCGCTTTTATTGTACAACATATACATTTTTTTTAGAAATTCTAAAAGCGGAAGCATAACCTAAGGCAACCCACAAAGCGTACATGCATGACCAAGTGGGGACAATACTTGGGGGCTACTCTTAAACAATTGGATTGGACTCTACATTGGGCTCAGGTGACTAAATGTTTTTGTAATGTAATAGCCCTGGAAAAGTCATATAAAGTGCTGATGCAAAGGAACACGCCAGACAAGATTTCCAAATTTGCCCCCACAGTATCCCGTAACTGTTGTAAGGGAAGTGCAGTATGTCTCGTGTGAACATGTTTCACATCTGGTAGGGTTGCCCTATGGTGCAAAAAGTGTGGCTTTGAGTATATAACCTCATCAGATCTGTTCTTCACTGCAGATTGGTATGGGACCCAGGGGAAGCCTTGCTGAATGTGACAATTCTGCCTCAAGATATGAAAGCCAAAATGTCTTGGCTACCAGGATCTGTAAATTTGCCCGCACAGTATTCCCTGTTTTAGGGGATTTGTGTCTCGTGGTACCATGTACAACATTTGGTGAGATAGGGACCTTAGATTGAAAGCTCCTTGAGCGCAGGTACTCCTCCTGATGGAGCTTTATCATCCTGTCATATGCACTCTTGCTGGAGGCTACAAGCGGGCGTGCTGACACGCATTGTGTAAGTATGTTTCATTGCTGTCACTGTCAAAACGCCGGTTCAGAGAAATTTATGACTAAAACTGAAATTGATATTTTGCATTTCCGGCTTCCTATTTCCCACCTCATCAACATGCCCCTATTAAGTTAAACCTTTCTGTTTTAGACCAAGTGCTTCTCTATGCAATGACATGCAATGCATCAACTGGTGGGAGGGGTTGGCAGGGTGCCCTTTTCGCTTTCCTGAAAGCATCACAGCACCCTGCTCCGGGACTCCTTTAAAGAGCCCTCAGACCTGATGCAGGTAGTTGGCTGGCTCTTGGGAGGGGTTATCAAACCGGGGTACAAATGCCTTGATAGGGAAGATGTCAGTCTGGTGAGGTGGCTGTTCCTAGGCAGGCTGACTTTCCATGTAGTCCTAGGTAACGCGCACATGTGATGCTGAGCCTCCATGAATGAAAGAACTGAAATCCAGGTGAATGAAAGGGACAGGTCAAAGACAGTCAGGCTGGGGAGGAAAGTGCTAGATGATGCGGATTTGCTGCAGCTTCTAATGGGAATCTTGCAGTGTGCAGTGAAATCCAAATAAGCAATGTACAGTACAGCTTTGCAAGACTGATAGGAAGGCTGGAGTTCAGCTTTAAGATCTATTTTAAGGTGAGCAGAAAAAGGGAGATCATGCATCCAAATTTCCAAATGTTTAGGTGGACTGACCATACGTAGCCCACCGCTGCTGAATGTTGATTCTCACACAAGTGGTACGTAGGATCCCTCAGCACATATTGTAACACCTTCCTATGTGAATGGTTAATGTGCACCTTGGAATGTCAAGGATGTGTTTGTCATAGCCGCAGGGCCGCTTTCCCGCAGCAGCTTGTAGAATGTGACTGATGACACACGTCTGGTGGTCGGCTTAGATTGTTACTGTGTGGAACACAAACATTTCAAAGCAGACGAGTCTGAGGTGAAGCAGTTTGCAGGCTTTAATGTCCTATTTAAATTGGAACCCCAGGTATAAGAAAAAAATAAAATAATTGGCCATGCGTTGGACTATAATTTTTTTTCTTCCGGGAGTCTACCGCTATAAGATAGCAGCTCCCTGACACCAGCTCCCTGACACCCGCGAGAAAAACATTTGATCCTGGAAAGTTATACTATGCTCTATCTAGTAGAGTAAACTTTTCTGGGATACCTGTTGGTTCTACTCCCCGTGGTATCTGTTTTTTGGGGGGGGTTTTATACCTTGACAGCAGCCGCCGACCCATCAGGGAAAAAAAACAGCATGAGAATTAATAGCCAGGCTGCTATTGGCTATTTCAATTTGTAATAGCCAATAGCAGGCTGGCTATTGCACCCGCCCACTGCTGCTGCCAATCAGCATAAGAGGACGTGCAGGAGAACTATCTCTGTTTTTTTTGTTTGGTTTTTTTTTTACTCAGCGGCCGCTGTCAAAATAAAAACATATCAGGAGGAGTAGAACCACCAGGTATCCTGGAAATGTTCACTCTGTTAGAGCAAGTAAACCTTTCCGGGATAAAATGTTTATCTCGCAGATGTCAGGGAGCCGCTATCTTATAGCAGGAGACTCCTGAAACGTCCAGCAAAGCTGGGATCTCTGCCTTTCACACCTGAGCGCTGTTGCATGACGCTTGAAAAAGTACACAGCTTCTTTTTGGGGAGCATCTCGCATTTTTGTCCTTATAGACTTCAATGGGAGTGCCTGGGAAAAATGTGTGCAATGTGTGTGCTTGCGCCTAACAACCGTCTCCTTCTAGTAGCTAGCTTTCCATTGGCTAAAACAAAAATGCTTAAAGGAGAAGTATGAGGTTAAGTGATTTGCACTCGTCCTCATAGTTAGAGCCGACATGTGACATTGAAACTGTCACACGTTGACACTATAGATCGGGAAGTAAGCAAAAACATACCGTCACTCGCTCACTTCCCGATCATCTCCCTGCAGAGAGCGGTAACTGTCAGTCACCACTCCCCGCAGGGATTCTCCCCTCTCTGATCCTCCAGCACTGACTGGAGGAACAGAGGGTGAAGGGGACGGGCACAGCTGGCTCTGCCTCTAGATAGGCAGAGCCCGCTGTCAATCAGCCAGCTGGGTAGGTCTCAACAGTATTGTCCCGTATACTTCCTGGCTGCGGCGAACTCGGTATATAGCTCGCAATATCCTGCTATATACTGAGCTTTGGGTCATGGGAGGAGTTTGGTATATGTCGTCCCGTGACCCTAAAGATCTATGGGATAAAAAGGTTACCCTATAGTTCACTTGTAAGCCTGAAAAATGCATAGAAATGTGCACCTGACAACGCTTATGCTCACACGTGAATGGGGACCTACGTCTGTGTTGCCTGTCTGTGAATTGAGGCCTGTCCGGGATACATACTTCTGTGACTCATCAAATAATTCACCTTTTATATCGGTCTATAAAACCAAACATGAAAGGAGAAGCGTCTCTATATTACAATGGCTGATTGTATTCTTTTTTTCAAACCAACCTTGTCTGCCTTTTCCGTGTAAAAGGTCAGAAGAATTTCGGTACAAGCTCTTCTATAAATACCTACTCTTTGACCAGACTGTTACTGGGAGTATATGTAGTTCTTGATTTATTCTATCATTTATTCCCTTTTATATTCACACATCGCCATAGCAACCACAAGGACAGAAGTGAAATGCATGTACCCGGTGCTCCATTCTTCTAATCCAGTATTAGCTTGAAGTCAGACTTTGGAGTCACTAGTTTGACGTGTGTGTGGCATTGCACAGAGGCAGCAAAGCCGGATATAAAGGGCTCTATTAGAGAAGTCCCAGCTGTATCGTATTGCAGATTTGCATGATATTAACGCTGTGATGTTTGGGAAATTAACCACGCACTCTGTGCTTTTGCAGTTGGTGACACCCGTGACTCTGCGCTGGGTATGGACGACTCTCCTGACCCCTGGAGGACAACAGTAGTTTGCTCTGTGAGGTTCAAGGAGAAGTAGGAGGCTGCCCGTGAGGGGCCGGCGCCCACCAGGCCCAAGCCATGCCGTTCAAGATCAAGCTGCGCAGGACCAAGCGCTACAACGTCCTGAGCAAGAATTGTTTTCTGAGCCGGATAAGACTCTTGAACTCCAATGAGATCCAGTGCACGCTGTCTATGGACAGTACAGGACTGGAGTGCCTGGAGGCCGTAGCGCAAAGACTGGAGTTATGCGAGGTAAGGTTATTTGCCACCAGAGGTGGTCAACATGGTAAATGTTTGTAGGCAAAGAAATATATGCATGGTTCTCCAGGTAAATAGTATGGGGAAAAGTGTGTTTTGTAAATGTCATATATTGCAGGTAACCCGGGGTGGGCAACTTCAGCCCCCCAGCTGTGCTTTAACTACAAAGCCCAACATGCCTCTGGTACTGATCCCTGTAACTGTCAGTCTTTAAATGTGGTGGCTGCATTAGTTTTTCTTTATGTTTAGACATTTTTCCACCTGGTGTTCAGTTAGTAAAGCCGGCCATACACGGGTAGATTTTCTTATGAACGGTCATATCAAAATTTGATAATGTCATCAGAGACTTGTAAAATATCGTTCCAAATTTTGTATGATTTTGGAATGTTAATGTTATGCTTCTTGAACTTTTCAAACTGTTACTACATTTGAAATTAATCGTTAATTTGACCCCATTAACCAAAAAACCCCCAGAACATTCCAAAAACAGGTTATTTTTTTTCCCAACGAAAGTCTGACTGCGTATATCTAGCTGTAGTTTTGTTATTCAACTTTCTTTACCAGGCCAAGCTGTCCAGCAAAAGTGGCAGATAGAGGGGGAGACAAACCATTTAACACTGATATACAATGGTCAGCTTTTATTCATCTATGTAAAACCTTTATCCCAAATGGGGAAAAAAAACGGTTGTTGTAACTGCTTAAAAAAAATGACAGCTGGAGGGCCCAGTCATGCCACAAGGTCTGCGTTCCAGAGCGTTCGGCCTCTGGAACGCAAGCCGGCCGACTCCCTGCATTCAGGGGCGGGAAGGTTCGTGGCGGCGCATTGGAGTTAATGGCACCGCCATCGCCAGCACCCGGAATGCTGGCACATTCGTGCTTGTGTTCCAGTCCAGTGCGATCTGCAAAAATACTGCTTGCAGTATTTTTGCAGGTTGCACTGGGCTGGAATGCAGGCACTAATGTGCGGGCGATTGCACTGCGGGCGGGGGGCGTGGCTGCGGTGCCATTGACTTCAATGCACCAGCACGCCCCCTCCTGCCCCTGAACTCAGGGAGCCGGCCGGCTTGCGTTCCAGAGGCCGAACGCTCTGGAACGCGGACTTTGTGGTGTGATCCGGCCCGGAGTCCAGATTTCATTTGTCCATGTAAATCTACTCCTACATCTAAAGCTGGCCTAGACTCTGCTCATTTGCAAAATTCATCCAGAGGGTGGCCCTGTCCGCAGCCTTCAGTCCAGCATCCTTCAATCAGGAAACTGGAGGAGCTGGCTAGAGAATTTTGGAATAGTGATGGCAGCCCCCTGATGCCAGGGGGAGGGGGGCACTGGGGGAGGTCTCCTCTATTTGAATTCCTTCCGACCCTATGGAATAAAGTTGTATCTGGACTAGTTTAATTGGCGCGACGCTTCAATTCTCACATCTACTGTGTTCCCTGCCAAGCCAAGGATACTGTGGAGATTGGGCAATCTGCCTACCTGTTGGTCAGATCACACATATTCATATCACTTTACCACTATTGGATAAGAAACCCCAAGAGAGGGTTCTAGCCTGCACCTTCTCTACTTACAAAGCATTTTGTTTCTGGCCGTGTTGTGGTTGGAGAGTTCACTTAAAGTAGATCTGAAATCAAAAAAATTTGTTTTTAGTTTTTGGCTAGAGTAAGGGAGAGTTCTAACCCCCCTGCCAGCTTTTTATGCCATCTGTGTCCCTTTTTGGGGAGATTTCCCTTAATTTCCTGTCTGATAGCCGCAACAGGAAGTGATAGGAAATCCATTCAAAGAGATGGAAGTCGCTGGTGGTCAATAGGGGCATCAGAACAAGTGTCTCCATTGGAAGATTTCCCATCCATTCCTGTTCTGTAACTAACCAAAATATGGGATTTTCTTTCACCTTCTCTATTCATCCTGGTGACCATTATCACTGAATCTCCCTAACAGGGACGCAGACAGCAATAAAAACCTGACTAAAAAAAGTTTTGGCTTCAGTTAAACTTTTTAACTTCGTGAACAAAAAGTCTAAGAGGGTAATACTCTTTAAGTTCTATTTTTAGAGCCTTTTCTATGGAGGGAAGGGAATGATTGAGTGTTTCATGAGTGTTTTTTGGAGTCATTCGCAACACTGTGTGATTGCTGGCACTGTGTGAATTAATCAAATCACTGATTCTCTATGGCTGCTCCGAGACCGTTTGTGTCTTTTAGCTCTATGTGGAACATTAGATAAAAAGTTGGAGTAAAAGAAATAAAAAAAAATCAGCTATCACTTTTGACCTCACACCGGAATAATGTGACTTCCACTCTGACACAATTGTGGATTCTTAATTTAGTTTTTATATGTAAGTTTCTAATCTCATTTCCTCCCTCTGTATTGTAAAGTGTAGAAATGGATGTGTATTCCTCAGCTCATGAGCGCAATGCTTCTGGATGGCTCTGAGAGTGAAGAAATGCACATTTGTTTATGGTTTCTAACTTTAGTCATCTATTTAGAGGTTTCCTGTGACCTCCCCGGTCAGGGCATTCTTAAAGGGGAACTCCAAGCTAATATCAGGATCTCCGTTATATGCCTCATAACTGACCCATCTTATTCTACTAGCTTTCAGCATCCAGCATGTGCCCAGTTCAATGCCTTTTATCCAACACAAAAGCATATGTGCCTGTCTGATGGGTGACTGTAAGGAAAAATGACGAAGTTCTGTTTTCTTAGTCACCTCTCCTCCTCCAGCCTTGTGATAGGATCATACAGAGCCGTACCTAGCACCTTTTGCTCCCGAGGAGAGAACAGAAAATGGTGCCCCCAACAGACGTGTGCGGTATGTGACATCATGCGCCTCGCCTCCCGCATGCGCAGAATGTGCTGGTGGTCAAATCCAAAATAGCATAAAAATTCCATTTGACAAAACTAATTAAAACTTTTTTAATTTCCGTTCATTTTGTCAGAATAATAAAAAAAAAGACTTTGCACATGTTTAGTAATATGTGTGCATGAGTGTTTGTGGGGGGGTGTTTTTGATTTTATATTTTTTTAAATTATTTTTTACTGTTAGGGGGCTTTGGGGAAATATCAGGGGTCTAAACAGACCCCTGACATTTCCCTTTTGAAATAGAGATTGAGGACACAGTCTTCTGCCCATACAGGTGGGGGAGAGCAGCAGGGATCCGAGGAGAAGCTGGAGCCTGTGCCGCTCTTCTCCCTGCCGAGCCGTGGCAGTGTTGGCCACCTGGCACCCCTGTTGCCAATGGTGCCCTGTGCTCGCCATGGCAATGGGGGCAAGGGGGCGCAGCCAGGCCGGCCCTGGCTGCACCCCCTCTCAGCTGTGCCTGAGGCGAGTGCCTCACTCGCCCCATGGTAGCTACAGCCCCGGGATCATAAAAGATCAGCAGCAGGTTGGCGAATTCCTCTTGTAAGCCAGTTAGACTGACTGACAAAGCAGTAGAGCTCTGACTTGCTCCCGGTACTGCCCCTCCATCACCTACTCTTGAGTACTGCTGTTCATGGGATTACAGGATGCTAATTTTAAAGACAAAATCAAATTTTAAAGATCATTGTGGTGATGCACGTTCCTGGCCATTTGTTTCCCGCATTTGGAGCGTGTCCCCTTTGATTTCAGTGTGTCCCTGGGATGTGCTCCAAATGCGGGAAAGTAGTACATATCGCAAAATTCTGCAACATGCTTTCCACATTCTCCACATTCCCCCCCCCCCCACACACACACACACACATTTTCATGTTCTCATGCGTGAACGTGTGGGGAAAAAACGTGTTCTACATTTGTTTACGCTTGTGAACAGGTCATAAGGCAGGGTTGGATAAATCTCAGGAGGCTGGTAGCAAATGCTCCTCAAAAATTACAGTTGGCGCCTCACTTTTAAAGTTGTCTCTAGTTGTTGTCAATGGAGCTGACTAAAGAGAAATTCTGCTGGCTCCTGCATTCCGTATTCATTAGAGGGTGTTTTCTTGTGTTTAAGGAACTACATTGGATTTCTGTGATCTGTCAAAGCCAAGGCTTTCAGCCAGCACAGGTGGCTACCATTGCCCATTTTACCCACAAGTGGTGCCAAGTCGCATGGTGGTCTTACTTGGAACAGGCTCCTGAGATGGGCAATGGCAGACTCAAGAAATTAGCTCATCCAGATAACTAAAGATGGTCCATTGCATGCAGTTGTGGAACCTGCCAAGCGCAACCTAAAAGAGATGTGGCTCCCTACCTAGGTGAGCAGTTGGTGCGATGCCCTTTGGGGCTCTGTGGCTGGAATAGTTGTGTTTGGCCCATGGTTGCCTATTTGGTTGCTTTGCTTCCCCCAGCAGGAGAGTAGTCTTTAGGCAAGATGCATCCCCAACAATGCGGGAGTAGAAAAACAAAAAAGAGAGTAGTAGTAAAAACAAAAGAGAGAACTTTTTTACAACTTTTATAGAAACATCTATGGAAGAAGTCTGCGCACAGAGAAATATGTGTATGCCTTTGCCGGAAGTAAGCTGTGTGGCAGAACACGTTCCCCCAGAGTTTATTTTATTATGGTATTTATATTCAAACCAGGGAACCCCCAGTGCTACAAGGCAGAAGCGCTAACCACTACGCAGCTGTATCCATGTTGACGAAACTTCTGATCCTCTCCCAAACAGCTGTGGATTTTTGTAAAAAAATGTTTAAGATTTTCATCTTGACTTTTTTGCTGTTTTAATTATTTTTACCTTTACCTCCATGCTGCTCTGCAGAAAATCCCCTTGAAATGATGTCCTTAATTCCTTTTCACGCCCTCGGGCTAATTTCAGCGCATCGTCAAAGTATGGGAGTGTCGCACACATGGGGGAGCGTAAGGGTTGTCATTCCTATAGTAACAGACTAGTTTACAGAAAATGGTTTAGAAAATAGCTTTGATAGATGCCAAGCGCCCTTGTAAAGGATTGCAGGTATCTACATCTGTCTAAAATGGCCCTTGTAAAAATGTTATGACGTGCCCTTTGCCTATTAGATACATATTTAGGGAACGTCTGTTGCTCACAGCTTACGGAAATAAAAACATTTCGCCTGCAATTAAATGCATAGCAACCCCCCCCCCACAAAATAACACACGCAGTAACCTACTTTATAACCTAAACTAAGTGAAACATGGGGGGTCTGCCATTGTAAACCTCCTTCTGAAAATCTTTTATGGCAGAACGTCTCCGCACCTCTATGAAAACTTCCACTGCAGCGGTAGTTTAAAAACTTTCCTCTGAGTTCAATTTTAACAGCCTATTTATTGTAAATGCCTGAACGCAATCATTTGGAGGGGGTCCACATACCTTTTGGCTGTACAGTTTATTTTTTAAGCGAAAAGATTTTGAATAAGAGTATGGCGGGGTTTAAAAATAAAAACTAAAACCGTTTTTAACTCTTCCCTACCCTTTCCAAAATGGCGGCAAAGTTCTTTATGTGAAGTGTGGCCTACGTGGTTATGCAGACTCAGGTGCTTGTAGACAGTGCATGATGTCAGGCAGTTGACAGGGCAGCAGCTGTCAAACCGCAGGTGACCTTTGACCGCAGGCTGAAGACTGATTCAAGGTTAAGAAATCTACACAATGATAGGAATTTAGGGCAGAATATTGAGGTTTTTTTTGCACATGTCGAGTCCTGACTGGTTCTCTTAGCTTTCAGTTTTTTTCGTTGGTGTTGGGGAGGTTCCGTGCCGCACGCTGTACACCTGCTAGTGTGATCGGCTCTTCCAGCATGTAATTAACAGGCAGGCGTTGCTCTGTGGAGCGGCAGACACTGAGAGGAGCTGACATCCCTTCCCCCAGCCTGCGAGCGGCAATGGAAGTTCATTAGAAGCCGCGCGCCTACACATCCCGGATGACAAGCTGCTGCGTGTCTAGATGGCGTTCAGAAAATCTGTGTGAAGTGACCGCTCGGCAGAAATCTCAACTCAGTGATTGTATTAATAATACTGTCCATCAATGTGTCAAATACTAAGGGGGAACTCTGATCAAACCGCTCATAAGGGGGGTGACCGCATCCAGGGCCATCCCTATAATGAGGCAGCCTGAGATGGTTGCCTATTCTGGCCAGAGTTTCCCAGGTTGCTAAAAGCTCTTAGCATCCTACCTGGGACACTGTTCGGTGCCCTGCCTGGCTCACTGACGTCACTGGTTGCCAGGAGCTGTGCGTGACGCCAGACAGAACTACGGTGCACCCCCAAATTCCCCCTGTAACATACACCCAAAACACCCACCATAAACCCCCACCCGAAGCTACAGTCTATGTCCTGACACGTGCCTGAATTCTGTGTGTTAATTGTCTATTTAACCCGGCATCAATGTATGTAAAATAACGCTACCAGAGCTGCTGAGAGGAGGTATCCGATATAAGGGCTCATGCACATGGACGCATCAGGCCGTGGAATGTTAATTTTGGGATACACAGCAGAGGTGTACAGCCATCTATAGCAGTGAACATGGGTTTACACCACTACTGGCATAAACACGCACATGTGTAAAGCCGTACACCCCTGGACTCCTGTAGTTGTTCACGTGTACGCATCTGCACAATGATGGGAATCATTGTGCAGATGCAATAAAAAACTCCCAAATCCATGCTGATCAGCGCGGAATAAAAAAAAGCTCAGGGAGCAATTTGGGCGGGAGGCGGTAAGGATCGTGTGGACCCTCATGAACGGTCCCTATAGCAATGCATGGGATCGTTCATGTCGGCAGATCCGCACGGCCGAAACACCTCTGCGTGAATGGGGGCGTCAGCACATGTACAGCCGCATACACCCATTCACTCCTATTGGCAGCTGTGTACTGACCTAGGGCTGCAGCTAACGATTATTTTCATAATCGATTAGTAAGCCGATTATTAACTACGATTAATCGGATAGAATAAAAAAATACCGTCATTTATGTAAAATAAAATACACAAATGCAGCTTTACAGACAAAGTTTACTTCAGAATAAAATGGTGTGCACATTGTTTGCATACCAGTACTACTGACTGCACCTGTTTATTGCCGGTGTCAGATTCCAGTGAATATGATCGCCTTGAATTATTAATCATTTTTAATAATAATTTATTTTGTAGGTTGTGAATATCGCAGATAAGATGACATGTTATGTGATAAAACCAGACAAATATATACTTCTCCTCCAGCAGGCCGTGATGGTCCGTGTTCTGCAGGAACCCCGGCTATGCACTTGGTATTGTTGGCAATGGAGAGAAATGCCCATTAATCGTAAGCACTAGACAGGATATTTGACAGTTTGCATTCCTTGGCCCGCTGCGAATGTTGATCTGGCTCTGTGGGGAAATTCTGCCAGATAACTTTCCTAGCAACACAGTTCAGTGTTTTCTGTTGTAGATATTCCCAAAACTAACGTGAAGCCCATCTCCAGGCCAACATACAAACATCCCGTTCTGTAAAGAAGATGAAATGTATTTTTTGTGAGGGTATTTACCATGACTTTATTGCATAGCATGATGTAGTAAGCAGCTACGGTGGTTGACGGCAGGCGGGCTACGGTGGTAGACGGCGGGCGGGCTACGGTGGTAGACGGCGGGCGGGCTACGGTGGTAGACGGCGGGCGGGCTACGGTGGTAGACGGCGGGCGGGCTACGGTGGTAGACGGCGGGCGGGCTACGGTGGTAGACGGCGGGCGGGCTACGGTGGTAGACGGCGGGCGGGCTACGGTGGTAGAAGACGGCGGGCGGGCTACGGTCGGAGACGGCAAAGACTTTGCACAGTAGTCAGCCTTTTTTGGTTAGCCCTTTTTTTTTTTTATCTTTTTTTTACAGAAAAAATACAGTGTTCCATTTTTCATCCTTTGCTTCTCAGTGCTGCTTCTCTTCTGCAGCCTCTTTCCCGTCTACATGCGCTCCAGCAATGGCTACATGGCATTTCTCAGGGCGAGTTTCCTAATGGTGACAACAATGGTTCATGCCTGTGTCGTGTGTGTGTAGAAACGGCCTTTTGTAGTCTCCCATCAGGAGCCCATTTGACAAGGTGACAATACAGGAGCACAATCTAGAAACAGGGACAGTGTGTTGTCACTCTCTAACAGGAAACGCCTAAACAAGGCCCTTCATGGCAGGATCACCAAGTAAATCAGGCTGGAGTTTCCCTTCATAGAGCGTGTCTGGGTAATCTGCAGCTTTGATCGGTGAGCTGTTAATGCTTTATTGCCCACTCAGTTTACTATTCAGTGATTTAGGTACAGTCCAGTGCGGACAGCTTCTGAACAGGACTACAGCCTCTTGTCCAGCTATATACAGTGGGGCAAAAAAGTATTTAGTCAGCCACCAATTGTGCAAGTTCTCCCACTTAAAACGATGAGAGAGACCTGTAATTGGCATCATAGGTAGACCTCAACTATGAGAGACAAAATGAGAAAACAAATCCAGACGAATCACATCGGCTGATTTGGAACCAAATTCAGTTCACACTGATGCCTTAACCTTGGTCTCCTCTCTTTTCTAGACCCATTACTTTGGCCTCTGGTTTGTCGGGAAATCCCAACAAGCGCGATGGGTGGAGCTGGAGAAACCGTTGAGGAAGCAGCTTGACAAGTTCTCGGTGGAACCCGTGCTGTACTTCGGCGTTATGTTCTATGTGCCGAGCGTTTCTTGCCTAAACCAGAGCGCCACAAGGTAGGTGAGATGTCTGATCTGCAGGAGCTTACCGTTGAAGTTTTTAATCTGTTGAGACAAGACCAGTCACCCTGAACAAGGAGAGAGGGCAGCAGTGACCGGTCTTTATTACAGGAGAGGGCAGAGACTAGACCAGTCACCCTGCACAAGGAGGGAGGGCAGCAGTGACCGTCTTTATTACAGGAGAGGGCAGAGACAAGACCAGTCACCCTGAACAAGGAGGGAGGGCAGCAGTGACCGTCTTTATTACAGGAGAGGGCAGAGACAAGACCAGTCACCCTGAACAAGGAGGGAGGGCAGCAGTGACCGTCTTTATTACAGGAGAGGGCAGAGACTAGACCAGTCACCCTGCACAAGGAGGGAGATCATCGGTGACCGGTCTTTATTACAGGAGAGGGCAGAGACAAGACCAGTCACCCTGCACAAGGAGGGAGGGCAGCACTGACTGGTCTTTGTTACACACTGGATTACTTCACAGATCTGGAAGAAATACATAAAGATCAGCAAGATTCAAGCAAGATAACACATCACTTTTGTATTTGGACAATATCTGCTTATCCCAGAGTTCAGCTTTAATTCTCCTCCTCTACCAAGAGTGAACCCAATCTTCACCTCAAAACAAAGAATATGTAAAGCCAAAACCTTTTTGAATAGAGTAAGGATTTTCTTTAGGACTTAGAAGTATTGTATGTTAATGGGGGGAGCTCAGTCTGTCCCTTTTTAACATTTTTATTTCAATCTGCTCAGAGTAGCCTGAAATCTGCATAAAGGCATTCACCAAAGAAACATTTAAAAGGTAAGACATATTTGTAAAAAATTATTTTTAGGGCTTTTGTGTGAATGGGAACCCATAATATACACCCATCGGTCAGCCAAAACATTATAACCACCGACGGGTGAAGTGAATAACAATGATTATCCTGTTGCAATGGTAGCTGGAAGTGGGTGGAATATGTTGGGCAGCAATTGAATGTTTTAATAAGGGCCAAATTGTGATATCTAGATGACTGGGTCAGTGCAACTCAAAAACGACAGTACTTGTGGGATGTTCCCGGTCTGAAGTGGTCCAAGGAAGGAAAATAGGTGAACCAGTGACAGGGTCATGGACGGCCAAGGTTCATTGATGCCTGTGTAGTCCGATCCAATAGAAAGTCACCTGTAGCTGTAATTGCTGAAAAAGTTAATGCTGGTTCTGATAGAAAGGTGTCTGAACACAAAGTGCACAGATTGTTGTATATGGGGCTGCGAAGACTCAGACCGGTCAGGATTCCAATGTTGACCCGTGTCCACCACCAAAAGTTCCTACAATGGGCATGTGAGCATCAGAACTGGATCATGCAGCAATAGAAGAAGGTGGCCTGGTATGATGAAACGCATGTTCTTTTACATCATGTGGATGGTTGGGCGTGTCCCTGTGACTTACTTGGGGAAGAGATGGTACCAGGATGCATCACAGGAAGAAGGCAAGTCAACCGAGGAAGTATGATGCTTTGGGCAATGTTCTGCTGGGGAACCTTGGGTCTTGCCATTCGTGTGGATGTTACTTTGACAAATACTACCTAAACATTGTTGCTGATGAAGTAAACCCAAGGAAATGGTATTCCCTCATGGCAGTGACCTCTTTCAGCAGGATATTGTGCCCTGCCACACTGCAAAATATGGTTAAGAATGGTTTGAGGAACACAACACCGAGTTTGAGGTGTTGACTTGGCCCCCAAATTCTCCAGATCTCAATCTAATCGATCATCTGTGGGATGTGCTGGAACACCAAGTCCGATCCATGGAGACCCCACCTCACAACTTGCAGGATCTGTTACCAACGGCTTGATGTCGGATACCCCAGTATACATTCAGAGATCTAGTGGAGTCCATGTCTTCATGGGGCTGTTTTGGTGGCAAAAGGGAGACTTACTCAATATTAGTCGGGTGGTCATAATGTTATGGCTGTTTGGTGTATTGAGGGGTTTTCTCAAATTTGACTGCAAAAAGTGGAGCTGCATTTCAAGCCTTGACAAGCAATATCGAAATACTCGTCCGCTTCCCTTTTAATTCTCCCTTTTGAGTGGAATGCACGTTTACCTGGGGCTGATGCCGGCATTGTCTGAAGTAAGATCTTTACGAGCAGTTTTATTGAGATTATCATTGTGTTCCCTACAAACCGCAAACTGAACAATCCCCACTGAAGCTGTGCAGATGGCTTTCTGCGCTGAGTCCTGTAGACGGGCTCTGATGAAATTCTAGGTTGTGACAAGGAAATGCCTCTTGCTGCCGATCAGCCGTTCCTTTCCCTGTAATTTGTTGTAATGAATGCAAAGGTTGGAGGGCAGAAAGTTAGCTTCAGGTTGAAGCTTGCCGTCTCCTGCAGGCGTGCTGCTACTGGCTTCTCCTCACATAGTTCACGTGGAAGGTTTATTTTTTAGCAAATAGTGGCCTTTTAGGGTGATAAAAAAACCTCTCTCCTCTGCAAAGGCAAACACTGAGATTCCAGGCTGACTGCTGGAGATACTTTGTTTATTCTGGAATACATGTAGTCAGCACTAGTGAGCGCCTTATCGTGCTGCGAGAAGCGTGCTATAAAATGCCTGCGTGCCTTGGCAAGACTTGGCTGAGCAGGCCAAAGACTCGAATGGAGCACTGAACGTGTGAAGATGCTGAAAAGAAGAGTGTTTCTGAACTCCAGCCTTATCTTGTCTTGCACAGTTGTACACACTTCTCTCTTGTACTAATATTGCTTACTCTGATTTCACTGAACACTGTGAACTTTTTACAATGTGCATTAGAAGCTGCAGCAAGTCAGATCCTGCCTCATTTCCTAGCTGGAGTATGTCCAGAATCATCTAGCCCTTTCATCCCCAGCCTGACTGTCCCTTGGTTCATTCAATGGATTTCAGGTTTCTTTATTCTTGAAGGCTTGGCATCACGTGGGTGATCTACATGCAAATGCAGCATGCCTAGGAACGCCCAGTCCTCCAGACTGACATCCACCCATCAAGGAGTATTGATATTAGTAAGGATGCACGAATACTAGTATTGGTATCGTTGCCAATTAAGAGTATTTGGGCGAGTACTCGTACTTGCCCAAATGCTCCGATGCCTAGCCCGATACCGGAGTTTCCGGTATCAGGAAGCCGGGCAGCGAGTCATTACACGCTGCTCGGCTTCCTGATTGGCCGGGCAGTCGGCTCCATGCTCCCTTTGTGACTTGACCACAGGAGAGCATGGTGCCAGCTCCCTTGCCAATCAGTAAGTTGGGCAGCGTGTAATGACGCGCTGCCTTGCTTCCTGATTGGCCAGGAAGCCGGCCAAACAGGAAGCTGGGCGGTGTGTCATTACCCGCCTCTCAGCTTTCTGATTGGCCAGAAAGCCGGCTTCATGCTCCCTCGTCACCTGGTGATGAGGGAGCATGGAGATGGCTTCCCTGCTAATCGGTAAACCGGGTGGCGAGTGTTTACATGCCACCTGGCTTCCCAGCTATCAGGAAGCCAGGTGGCAAGTCATTACACTCCGCCTGGCTTCTTTAATGGGACTTCCGGTATCGGTATTCAGTATCGGTGAATACCGGAAAAAATATCGGTTCTCATACTCTATACCGAAAAACCGGTATCTGTGCATCCCTAGATATTAGCATAACTCTTCCTTCTGCTTGTATCAGGGCTTAAGAGATGTATTGAGGCAGGGTGCTGGAAGCCATGCACAGCACTCTGCTGTCCTCTTCCACGAGTCATGATCTGTCTTCATTGCATATAGAAGCATAGATGCTCAATGATGACATCACCAGATCTAAAATGGGGTATATAATGAAAACGGAAAAAAAAAAAAAGTATTATTAAAATATGATTGGCATGTTGATGAGGGGGGACGGAGGAGGATCCAGGAAATGCAAAATATTACAAGATTAAAAAGGAGACTCATCCTCTCTATTGGTCCTGGAGACCATCAACTCTGAAGGTGAAAGAAAATCCCAATTTTGTATTGTCAGAACAGAAACAGATGGCAAACTTTCCAATGGGGATGCTAGTTCTGGTGACCCTGCTGACTACCAGGGATTCCCCTCTCTTTGAAAGGATTTCCTCTCACTTTGTGTTGTGGCTATTGGACAGGAAGTGAAGGGAACTCTCCCCAATGGGACACAGATGACAAACACAAAGCTGATAACTCTCCCTTTTGCTATCCAAAACTAAAACATGAGTTCTGACTTCAGTTCTACTTTTAACTTCCGCTTTAAAACTTTCCTCCTCAGACTACACTTAAAGGAGAACTATGAGGTGAGTGCTTTTCACTCACCTCATAGTTCAAGCCGACCTGTGACAATGAGACTGCCACAGGTCGGCTCAGTAGACATACCGGCGTTCGCTCACTTCTCGATCTTGTCACAGCTCTCTGCCGTGACAGGGGAGGGGCTGGATTCCCCCCTCCCCGCTCCGATCCGCCAGCGCTGACTGGCGGATCAGATGCGGGAGGGGGCGGGTACAGCTGGCTCTGCCTCTAGATAGGCAGAGCCAGCTGTCACTCACGCAGCTGGGAGGATCCAGACATAATTGTCGGGATCCGCTTCAGCTGCGGCGCCTCAGTATGTCGCGGTATACTGAGCTTAGGCTGACGGGAGGACGCTAGTTTGTGTCCTCCCGTTACCCTAAGGAGAACTATGGAGAAAAGCCCTAAACCCCATAGTTCTCCTTTTAAAGCCCAACTTCATATAAAACACTTTACCTTGTATTGGATAGCATGGTGAAGGGTTAGAGCCTCATTGATGTCAGTGTCCTTGCTTCACAGATTTCCTCTCGTGTCCTGTCAGGACAGGAAATGATGTAATATTTCTCCCACAGAAACTTTGCTACTACCTGGACTGGTTCCGTATTTCCTCCAACCCAGGACAATACCTGGACTGGTTCTTTATTTCTTCCAACCCAGGACAATACCTGGACTGGTTCTGTATTTCCTCCAACCCAGGACAGTACCTGCACTAGTTCTGCATTTACTTTAACCCCGGACAATACCTG